ATTCGCATAGTCGAGTTGGAGTTGGGAAAACAAAAGAAAATGGTAGAACATCGCGAAACTTTCATGAAGTGAATGCAAAACTTTGTGCTTTACTTTGTTGAGTGCCACTTGAAAGTAAATTTAGTTCAGGAAAGTGAAATCAAACCGTGTCCTCCTTTTGGAATCGTCCATCTATTTCAGTGTCTTTTCTCCTTTCCCTCTCTGCATTTATCTTTCTATCTCATTTCTTTCTTTCTCTTCTCTCCATTTTCCCCATATTCATCTGTGCTTTCGCTTCTTCCATTAAAAAATTGAGCACATTCACCAAATATGGAAAAAATAACTCGGGGCTGTCATATTTGTTTTTAGTTGCCGCGTCAAAGACGAAACCATTACGAATTCATAAGTATTTGATGGCAAAAGCAATAAGAAGATTTTTTCAATAAGTTACTAAGCCGATGCAAACACATGGTAATTGTGCTCTCGGCTGTATGTGTGTGTGTGTGTGCTGTGCTCGAAGGCTGAATAGAATAACGAGCGAAAAATATGTTAATTCTGCACATGTAAATTGCAATGCATAAATTATTGCGACAAGATAAGGGATGAACAGGCATTTACAAATATAAATTTATGGTAAATTTTCCGTGGGAAAACCATTTGACAGTCATTATTGGAGTCGAGTCTTGGGCTGGAATTCTAAGTCATTCCACCAAAATCGTTCGGAATTATTTTTTTCGTACATAAGACCATATTGGAGTGAAAGAGAGAGTTTCCACTATTTTGCAGCGTTCCACCGGAATTATTTCTCACACAATCCACTCTTCCTTCAATTATCGGAATAATTCCGATGGAACGGTAAAAAATTGTGGAATCTCTCTCTTTCACTCCAATATAGTCTTACGTACGAAAAAAATAATTCCGAACGATTTCGGTGGAATTCTTAGAATTCCAGCCTTGGTGACGGGAATTCAGGGCATGTGTATTATACTAATATAATATAGTATTACATATGTAATTATACGTGATTCGGATCGAAATCAGGATCGGGACATGAGTGCGTACACGGAAGAGCGAGAGAGTCACAGAGAGAAAGAGAGTGAAGGCGAGTGATTATGAGGCGGTAAATTCGAAAATTGTTTGACGTTTCCCATTGTTGTACAAGATTAAGAAAAATTACTTCATGAATTGAGCTCTGAACCTTGGCTCAACAATTTCCGAAGTACAACAACCATACACTATTTCCCTGCTGCCGTGTTTCATTGTTCGGGAAATGAATCGTATGATGTTGCTGAGAGATTTGCTAAGCGTTGTGGCTCGACGACCCGAAATGCATGCTCCATAATTGACTCAAGTTTACAAAAGAAATGTGAAAACTTTGTGCTACCTGCTTGAATTATCTACGCTAATTTCAGCATTGAAGCCGTTGGATATATGCTCAGCTGACATGGAACTACACACGTATTCGATGTTGCCAAAAAAGTTTGCAAGCGTTTCAATCCGAATGGCAAACACATCTTTTGGCTCTAATCGCATTTCAGTTGTGCCTTTCCGTAAATCATAACTTGGATCGAATTCTCGTGTACATATCACACTGTGGCCCATAGAATTAAGCACATCTTTTTCCCAATACATACGTATACAACATTGATACATGATTTTAATCTCCGCCGTGAATTTGTGGTGGAAAACCAATCCGAAAATAAGGCGTCCAACGAATCGAGAACGAGAGAGAGAGAGAGAGAGAGAGAATAGCACAATACCAGCGGTATTGATATTCGATCCGAAATATTATATTTTATTGCCTAAACAAATAAATGTGAGCAAACCAGCGCGAACGAACGAGAATCGCAAATGGAAAAAGGACTCTCGGCCACAAATGACGTCATATTGAATATCCGTGTTAAGCAATCAACACATAAACGTAAAACGGCTATATGAACCCACACATACACACTCACATAGAGAGTGAACATATGTAATAATCAGCAAACCAATGTCAATTCCGTAGATAGCGAATAAAGGTCATAAGTCAACGAACATTTATATTTATATATTTATGGTTATTGCACAATCAAAAGAGGGAGAGAGCGCAAGATAGGAAGAGAGAAAGAGAGGTACCGAGTGGGAAAGCGTCCAATTTTCACACTGGCCGACTTCAAGTTTGATTTATGCATATTGTTGTTACTGCTGCTGCTGCGCTTGAATGAAAGCAACCGAATGCGGTCTATTGGCGTCGATGATTAGTGTGGCCTGGTGTGTCCTACACTTTTAAGATATATTGCCTCTTTCATGTCGCTGTTCAAGCACTTCATTTCCGAGACGATTTTGCAAATACGATGTGACGCCCACCCATCGTATGTATATGTGTGTTGCTGCTGCTGCTGCTCTTAACAAACCAATTAATTGTTGCGAGTGAACGTGAGAACATCCTTCGTTAAACACATTTAATCCGTGCATGGAATCTCTTCGATCACCAAGAATCATGGCTGCATTTGATGTTTCACTTTAGAACGTACTTAATTGAATTGTCATGCTTCGGAATGTATTTGCTTTTTACTCGTCTGCCATGACCCGTGATTTTGCGTCAAGTTTTGCCTGTCTCCGGATTGCTCTCTTCTTGCTCCGTTCATATGGCTAAACTCTTGTTTTTTTTTTGCTCCGCTGCTCTGCTTTTGCTATTTACTTGTTCTTGTCCTGTTTTCATTCGATTCTCTTTCGATTTTGCCTCATTTCAGTTCGGTTCTTGTTCCAATCTCGGAATGTGATTTAATCGAATATCGATGGCCATTTCAACATAATAATTAATCTTTCCATTGTTTTTGCCAACTGAATCGAATGAACATCGAAGGGAAACAAAACGCTTTGTTTCATTCTAACTCAGACCTATAATTAGAATTTGGAGCCGAATTGTTAGTTACGTTTTGAAATTTTTGCTGTGCATATGCCATATGTGCATGCATTGATCGGAAAAAAACAGTTAATTAGTGTAAAATATCATGGAAACGTTCGAACGCGCAAGGTTCACGGATTTCAACGGTTGTTGTTCCCATCGCCGACAGTTAAGTGTACTGAATACTGCAGCAAACAAAATAATTAGCAAACGTTACGTACGTACGAAGTACAGCTCGTAAATATTTCAAATTGCTCATTTCGGGTGGCCGTCGTTAAAGCGTCAAAGTTGAACAATACGATGTTGTTTACTGCGTAGTCCAATCGATGCATAAAACAAGTCTAAACACATGCACATATAAGCCCGTATCACACTCAATCATTCCGTCATGTTATTGTTTGACTCTCGCCCAATAACCATTTCGGATCACTCTCATAAACGTTTTAATCAAATTTATGGGTGATTGTTGCATTTTCGACGTTACGATAGGTCACCACACAGTACAGCAATGCAATGTACCAAAGTCAAATTTAAAATAGATTTGTCCGAGCTAATGATTGTAATAAAATTTTGTGATATATGTGAGTACGTAGTAATGCAAGGACCTTGGTGATGCAATATATATTTGTGCGAACGCGTCATTTTTTTTCTTCTCCAGATATATTCGAAATCCCATTTTATTTATGGAAACCATTATTATTCCGACGAAGCAAAACAAGTTCAAGAGCGATGAATAACAATTTTAAAGTGGCCAAATGGCCATAGAAAACTTTATCGAACCTTTTTCCAACGATGAATCGAGACACTGGCATTTTTTCGGTTAAACAAAATTCATTTTGTTGGAAAACAGAGATTGAGCTCCAGCGAAAAATGGCTGACGTCCACAAAGTAGCACAAGCGACCAAGGCGAAAATAAAAATTGCCCATATGTAGATATATACATGGTGAGTGAGTATAAAAACTACCATAGACGCATCTCACAGACCAAATACATACTGTGTCCGGTCCGCTCTTGCTCTTCTTCTCGTTCTCTCTCGCTATCGCTCTCGCTGTGGCTCACTGTCGCTCTTTCTCTCTCTTTTCTATTCCCCTCGAATGGAGTGTCTCAATATTTGCTATTGAAGGAAAGTGCAATTTTGCGAAAGTAGTGCCAAATCAGCAATTGTAAACAAAGCGCTGTGTCGTGCGCGCATTTTCATATTTTTGTCTCGTTTCGAAAGCAAATAAACATGTGTTTTAAGATTGCTGAGCATCTCAGCATTTCGTAAGGCACGGATATATCCGAGCATATCGACGACGCATACAGTGGCGTGCGTTGCTACGCGCAACCGCAACGACTCGACCGGAATGTGTATGTTGTTGCTGCGTGCAGCCACATCAACTGAACACACTTCGGTCGAGTCGTTGCGGCTGCGCGTAGCAACTCACGCCACTGTATGCGTCGTCGATATGCTTGGATATATCCGTGCCTTACGAAATGCTGAGATGCTCAGCAATCTTAAAACACATGTTTGAAAGCAAATAATTTACTTTGTGTCTGCCGCTTGTGAGTGTTTGTGTTTGGACATTTTATCGGCAATTTGAGCAGCAAAGAAAAACTCATTGTTTCAACTATTGTTTTCGTCGTCGTTGATTTGCTTCGTCCATGCCCATGGTGAATAGAGATGAAGAGCGGGGGCAGCAAGTATTTTCGATTTTATGAAATTTGTTCGTGTCCAATAGCAATGGTGTTCGTGTTAAATGCTGGATATAAATGTTTACACACACGATTTGTCGGATTACATTGGAAACATCGATAAGTAGCAGCGGGTCTCGTATGTATATATGTACGGGATGAGAGCGACAGACGAAAGAAAAAAAATTTACGCAAATATTTTGCAAGCACATTCACTGACGAAATACTTTGCAGTGGTTTGTTCGGGCGCATCGAACAAATATGAATAGCATACAGTCTCTCACTATGTGCAAGATTTCACTCTTGTTCTCACTTCATCCAACCGAGTGAGAGAAAAAAACAAGCGCTAACATTCAAGTGTAAGAATTGAGCAAATCAAATAAAACTGTAAACACATTTTCACGGTTTTTCTACCCCAATACCGAATTGTGTGTGTGTGTGTGACTAGAGACTTACCCTTGGTTTTTTGGCATATTGCCCATTTCGAACGTCTCGGATGGTGGCTATGTCTAAAATATCTAATTCGTTATTCTGATCAACCCAGCACAAGTAAAAGCCCTTCGGATCGACGCGCATCGTAACGGGTGTTCCTGATGTTGATTCCTGTGTTCGAGAAAAAGAGAGAAAAGAAAAAAAAATCATTAAAAAACATTCGAGAGAGATGGTATTTTTTTCGTCGTATTTTTCGCGTATTTCGCGTTTGGAATTCAATACGAGGCGACAACATCACTACTTAGTTGGCAAATACAGTGGAAAGACCTCAAAAGAGTAATATTTTTGTTCGTTGTCGCCTTGACTATGCGACAATCAGCGTTGACTGCCGAACAATGGCCTGTAGCTTATGAAATCGAGGCAGCTCGTTCGTTCGACAGTGAAAGCTTCATTTTTTTCCGAAGGAAACGGCGAAAATCACTTTTTAATATAGAGGATTTTGTCTGTGCTGCGCATAGCTATGGCCCATGATTGGCTCTCTTTTCAATTGCTCTGTGTATATTTTTCGCTGCGATGTACAGAGACCGAGCAGCAGCGCAACACATTTATTGCATTGTCATTGCCTGCAACTTAGGGCAAATGCAGTCAATCGCATTGGAGTGAAGTAAGCCTTAATAATCCGGATTTACGTCATTTAACAGCAACGCATATCTGTAGTTACAACAACACATTGCAGCCAAAAAGCGAACGCTTTTCCAAGCGATTCTTCTTCAATCTGACAGCAAGAAAAGCGGCAGTTTTGCCCTCGCACCAAATGTTTTGCCATAAACACGAGAAAAATAATCAATTTTTGGGCTTTTTCAAGAATCAACCCGAACTCGTGTCATTCAACGTGGGTATTAACGCGTACGTTTTTAAAAATGCATATCTTCGTTCAATGGCCGCTACATTTTTATGAACCTTTTAATATACACAAAACAAGTACATACGCAACACAAGTGAATCGAATTAATTTGGCGTCGCTTTTGTGCTTTCTCATTACGTTCAACGAATGCATATTTTTCATTAATCCTTTTTAACCGCATATAATCCCTAAAAATTGTGTGAGTGCGTGTCTTAAGTGCAAACTCAATACAAGCGACTGAAATTGCACGCGTTTACCCTGCTGCCGCTCTCGCCATCAAATTGCTTGTTCGTGGAATTTCGTCTGTTTGCAATTAACAGACAATTCGATTGAATTTCGTTGAACTTGTTGGTAGTTCAACCAACTCTTATAAATGAATAAAGAAAACATGGTCGTCAAAGGCCACACCATCACGCCCATCAAACGAAATTTAATGGAATTGTGAGATAAACCTGCTATGCTTTGTTCAGGGTACAAACAATTTTTTTTGTGGTGGTTTGAATCACTCTTGATATTTTCCATGCAAAATGAAATATTATTTAACATTACATTCATTCCATTAATTTCAAACGGAATGCTATCAATTTCACCATTCAAATGCGACTGAATTTCAAATGGAAAAATGGCGCGACTTTTCACTCTCTCTCTTTCTCTTTTTCTCTCTTTCGTACAAATGATACTGTATTTCTGGTCGATTTGAATAGCTTGAATTGCATTTTCGACGTAACTAATCGATTATTCAACAGCATTAAGCCCATCGAACAAGCTGGTTATTTATTCATATAATGCCCGATCTGTATATCTCACTTCTTTCTCTCTGTATAATATAAAATAGTTCGAGCGCTATAAATCACATGGAGAAAAAGAAAAAAAGACACTGGAGAGAGTCAAGCACAGAAAAAGTGGCGGGAATATTCCAAAATCCGACATGCGTTTTATTTAAATGTTCGAACATGTTTATTTATTGCTTTCCCAGAGTTTTTTTTTCACTTTTCGCATTAATTTCATGTGCAAACATTCCATCGAGCCCTTTTTTGCATTTTGAGTGAAATAAAAACAACAGCAACAACAACTCGACATGTATTCCGCTGAAATTCGTGACGTGAGCTATTTTGCAACAACACTTCTGACAGTGTGCAACTCATTTATACCTTAATTAAATTCAATAATTTAATTCGTTAGACTCTTGATTACAGCCCGTTCGGTTGAAAAACTTTTCACTGACACACATATCGAAACAGCTCAGCTGGAATTGGCTGGACAATGGACATGAAGGGATTATTATAATACTTTTGCTGTCCGCATAAGATAATAAATCTTTTTTCTTTGAATTGTTTTTGTTTATGAATTGTATTTAGCACGAAGGATGGAAAATGCCGTCCGACAAAAAAGAACTCATGAAATGTTAATGCAAATTTCAGGGGCAGTTTGGATAATTAAACCAATGGGTATTTTGAGAATGCGCCAATCACTCGTTTGTAAAAAGCAAAATGGAACAAAAAAATGCACCAATTATGGAATTCATATTGAATTGAACATATTGATTTTCACATTTTTTTAATGGAAACTTCATTACAAAAGAAATCCAATATAGTACTTGGTTATCTTTCAACATTGTTTGACCTTTATTGAATTTGTTTTGCAATTTTTTTTATTATGACAAATTGAAAATTATTAAATTTATAAAAAAATGAACAGTTGATAAATGAACGAACCAAATCGATTCGTTTGATAATGTTCCGCCTAATTCTAGACTTGCGTGTTCTTGAATTAAATGCGAATTTGTGAACAAAATACAATTTGCAGCCAACACAAGCACAAAGAGTGCAGTCTTCGAAGTCATGTTTATGAAGCTGTTCTTTATTATTAGAACTTATTGAATGATATAATTATTCATTTCCACTGAATCAACCGAAGGGGAAATAATCATCGTTCGAAATAAAAGGCGAATCTAGAAGGGCATCTTCGAAGTAAATGATTGATTTACGATAAAACGGTTGAAATGATCGTTTCTTCGCGGAAATGACAACTGATTGGTTTTTCGTTGAAATCCATTTCTGCAGAAGCATGCTAGAGGGGAAAAACGCATTGAAATTGAGTTAATATTATTCGTTTTGAAGAAAATCTTGTGCGAAAGAAAAGAGAATATTTTCTTGCAAAAAATGGAAATTTTCATTTTCAGCCGGAATATAAACGCCTACTTCAATTTTTATTCATGACACGCATTGACATTAAAAAATTTAAATGAAATTGATATGAAATCTATGATAAAGGTCTCGTCTTCAATCAATCCTGTACGAATGCATAGACACATAATGTCTATAAATGACGGTTACATCACGTTGTACACGACTTAATCACATAAACAAGAACATCAATCAACCTGTGCATTGTTTTGGTGTCAAAGACACAAACCGCCATTGGAACAGAGAAAGTCGTTATGGAACGAGTCTTGCAATCTAAATACGACATCGGGCGATCGTTTGTATAAAATCTAAAGTGAATATGAAAATCACTGGTGTGATGTGTGAAGCAAATGTCGTTGCTGTTGTCGACGACATGAGCAGACACAGAATAAATGCGTAATTTTCAATAAAATGAGCACATTTATGGAAATGAAGATAAAAGGCTCTCTTCCTGACTTCGTCATCCGTCGTCTTCGCCAAAACTCGTTTGATATGCTTGGCAAAAATTCAAAATTCCACATACTTTTCAAAAATCTTGCTCATGAGCAACAGCATGGATGTTGTGTTGTTTCAATTTCATCACTCAAACTGCCACATTGTTGAGTCAAACACTCTCATCGTCACATTCAACTCTCAAACATCACCATCGCCGACAATTTATATTTGGTATGAATTTTTGTGTTTTCATTTCATTTATGCATAATTCAGTTTGCGTTCCGTTAATTTTTCACCTCTACACTTTGCATACAGGATGTGAACAGGGTGAGAGAAGGAGTGAGAGCAAGCGCTTGCGATTGAATTACCAAATGTGAAATGTATGGATGTTCTGGTGTTCGTTTCGCCTTATCAACAATCACACCCGAAATGCTGTGATCGTGTGCCTTGAAATTCGTGCGCACACCAACTTCACTTCCATCAATTTCCGCAACAGTACATTCACGGATATGGAGCGATAGGAGGTAGCGAGCGAAAGAGCAGAGAAAACACACATACACCATGTCTCCCATTAAAATACATTAGATGGGTTTTTTTTACTTCGTTTCCATTCATAAAAATCATAAATTATGCGCAAAATGAATCGTTGTGTTTTCTTCATCGTCATCGTGTTCATAATATCCTTGCTTTGATTCACAGACCATGTTTTTTTCTACTAAAAGACTGGTTTGCTCACGTCGTGTCGACGTGGATGAATATTTTCCACAGCGCAATGTTTGATGAAGGTGGAATTGAAAACATGTAATTTGCACAACTGTCAAATGGAAATAATTTCATAAGAGGTTTCATGATTTTCTCACAAATTATGAAGCTAAACAGAATGGCTTGTGAACTGTTAGCTTTATTTAAGAACGTGTAAGCTCCTAATGGCTTTGGGGAAATGGGTCGTCGACTCTTTCACAAGGCATTTTTTTCGCAGATTGACCAAATTAATTATATCCTTGGTACCGCCTTTTGGCTTGTGACCTTGTTTTGGCAAAAGAAAACGTTCTCCGGGAGGTTTTTTTCTTCAATATGTCTGGCTTTTATTTGGTACAAACAAATGTATTTTTTGCATATTTTTCTTTGAGAAAATCATATAGATTTTGAGTGATTTTCAATGGCCTTTGTAGACATTGTTGTTATTTTTCGACTTATAAAAAGTCCAAGCAATGTATACTTGTACCCTCTCATGTATTGGAAATTCCAATTTGAAATATTCAGTGATTTATAAGTAATCAGAAAGGCACAGCTTACAAGAAATAGAAAGAAATTGACCTTTTTTTCGTGAAAAAAGTGCTTATCTAGAGAAATAAGTTGAAATTGGTTTGTCTTCGATTGAGAAATTGTATTCTTACTTACTTCAAATGAAATGTTCATTCAAACACGTCGAAATCAGTGGTAGCACATAACGAACAAATGAAACACACGCCTGACGTAAAACCATGTGTTACATTATCACGATGTTACAGTTCAAGGCGAGTCAAGAAAGTTTTCAGCTAGAATGCTACAGTTATATGGCCAGAAAAAAAGAACAAAAAACCTAGGGGGCATTTGATACAAAATGGCACAAAGTAGCTTAATCCAAACATTTGGCCCGATTTGTG